CAGAGGGGGAGGGGGGGGGGGGGAATGACAGAACTTCCAGAAGACAACAGTGCTTTAGGATGCCTCGAACTGAGTTTTATCTAACTTGACCGGAACATTGAGGTGCTGCGGTACGAGCGATTTCTCAAATCTTTATAGAGTTTTTTAATTGAACTAGACTTTCATGAGGATGTCTCTTCCAACAGTTTCCGTAGTTTCTGTGGTGTTCGCATGCCACTAAAACGAGTCAGTTCGAACGCAAAAACGTTCACGATGAACCTTGAAATCCTAATTCGAGTGATTGAATTGGTGGATGTAATCGAGCCTGGGAATAAAAAAGGGATGCGATAACTTGATTCCTATCGACCAACTTCGACTGCATGACCGCCAGCATTATTCATTCACCTTTTTCTCAATAATTAGCTGTCAATGTATGTAGAAGCGCTTACCGTATACATGTTCGCTGTCCATCGGGCATCTCAATGATCAACTGAGCTTTACGACCTTTCTCACGATCGTTGAATGGTCGTACTCGTACGGCCACAACCACATTGTCGCCACCTTTACCGGTGCCCATCCTATGGGTCTTTTAAATACGTATTAATAGAAGAGAAAAAGACATGATGACCGAAAGGATACGGAGGACACAAAGGAACAATAGGAAAAGGTGGAGGAACTATTGTTAGATAGCAGGCCAATTGATAGAACCAGCTGAAAACGCGATGAAGATCTCATCAAAGGATATGTATCTTCAGACTAGTGAAGGCGTGTAGCATCAAGGAAATCAGAAACGCTTTTACGGCCCCCAATGCGAAAAGAGCATCTATAGAATTCCATAAAGAACCTCCTAGAAAAGTAACTGACAGAAAAGTCAGTTCCCTATTTCTTAGAGTAGTACAAGAACAGAAGAAAACTGGTTCTTATTGGTCTCGATCCTTCTTTTCAACAAGATACTCTGAGCGAATGTGAGATAAAGTAGAGAAAACCCCTTCCTCATAGGCATACACACACAGGAGTGGTTAAGCGATGTTGGACAATTCTGGCCCGGCAGCTATAGGCTACCAGCATGAAAGTCTCGAAGAGGAACAATGAACGAAAATCAATGTTCGGTTGCTATGAGGGTTTGTTCCAGCATCTTTGATGCCATCGCAGGCTTTTCGGTTACTAGGCTTTTGTTAGCTATGGTCGCAATTAGGTTCAGGGGTTTAGCCCTCTCCTCGATGTAAGGGCACCCCGAATTTGATTTGGTCGAATATCTGGGCAGTTCAACAGAAGACGTGTTACCTACATTTACTTTCGAAAATATCTCGACTGACACTTTTAGATCTCAATCAAAAATGAATATAACAAATATATATGATGCCATAGAGATGAGCTTACAACGGAGAGGATGATGGATGACGGGAATAACGAAAGATTCCACAATCTGAGCAATAAACAATCATGATGAACAACTCGATGACTAAACGCATACTCTCGAATATAACAAATAATAACAAACATGAAGACGTGCTAGTGCTACATTCTCTGACTCGGTGGTTAAAGTATAATTAATTAACACTAACTAGCAATTATCCTATCCTACTGTAAATAAACTACTATGAATGGTTGCTTACACAGTTGCAATCAGTAGTATCGTCTATGATTCAATTACTACTCATGACTGTGCAAATTATGTTGGGCGAACAGCAACCCCGCCTATATTAATGCGTAGAAATGGTATGCATTTGTATGACCAGCCTCTGATGCATGCGGCCGCGACGCAGCTTAACACCTGAATCGATGCGAATCGATTTAGCTGCTCAAGCGTAACGACCCTCATGGGTTCGGACTAGACATCTCAAATCCATTCCCCGAAATTCGAGCTGCATCTGATGAAACGAACTCTGAACTTCTCCAAAAGTCGTCCTCAATGTGGCTCACAAGTGCAACCAAGACTCTGATCACTGAGAGAGCGTATTGTCTTCCTCATTCCAGGAATAACCTGCTCTATAGACAATGGGCCTAGTGCCGCAGCAGCATTACTATAGCATCCTAACAACAAATAAGTGGAACGTGTAACAAATCTCAAATAGAACACCAACAAAACAGTCTAAGGTAAGTGAACCTAAAAACTATGATCCTAGAAACTACAATGTTGACACTAAGCTCACATCACTGTGAAAGTCTCGCGGAAAATTCCAGCGAGCAAAAATTGATAAAGCAAATTCGTAGAACGAAACTAGCTGAAGGTCTCCAATTGGAGAGAGCAAGGTAGAGATGGCACGATCGTGATGATTTAAAATCAAAGAAAACGATAAAAATGGACTGAGTGAGTGGGTAACTTAATTATCGAAATCTAATCGAGAGCCTCATCAGTCATTCCAAGTGATTCCGTTGTCGATTTGCCCTCGGGGGCTTCCGCTGCAACATCATTGGCACTGGGCATGCTACCAACCGAAATAATGATGATGCCGTTCAGAATATTCAATACGTCAAGGATAGACGACAGTGACGGTTGAGGGAGCTGAAGGCATGAAGGTTTAGAGAAAGACATTTTAATCAACATGCATCAGAAATATCCCTTAAGGTGAGAGCGACAATGCATGATTGTAATACTCCAGACTCTCACCCAAAGCCATGGCAAGGTTTTAGATGAGCCTGCTTTCGGAGTATTGATGGTTTAGGCCACGTCACACGCTGTGCTCATCACAATGTCATATTGTGAGCATAAACTGGGTGGCCATAGTCAAGAAGGGAATAATGCAATTGGCAGGCATTCCATTCTCTTTATGTATCATGTGCCACTGTTATACGGGGGGCGCGCGATTCACGCGTGACCCCATTACAGCTCTTCGCGCACGCAGCATCNTTTCAGTACCTTTCTGTTGGGATGGACCAATTAAATTTGCAGTAGTCCACGGCTTCACCATGAATTAGAGCAACTCTCTTTACTATGGCAATGAAACCCCTTCGAGAATAGGAATTCACATCACAGGTCAGCAATTTACTTGTCAAACGTTCAGAATAGGAAAAACAAGTTTTTTGATTCTAGAGAACGCAATCCTTCTGTAAACGTGCATAGTTGGTAATTTCTTTACTTATTCTACTTATAAGTTCTTATTCATTCCATTATGATGGTAGGCATGACGTTTTAGCGCTTTTTGCCCGATGACCTCATTATATTGGCGCGTGAATCGCACCACACCCCTGTTATACAACCTCACCTGCGCAGGAAGTAAAGGTCCAACTGAATTCCCTTTCGTTGCATCCATAACCTTTCTTTGGAAAGCGACAGCCTGCATCGTCAGTTGGCTGAGATATTCGCTTGATTCCTGTAAATGGAGAAAATGCAAATAAGAACAGGAAAAAAATAAAAGTGATGAAGGTTGGAAAGCAGATATATAGACGTACCTTCGTCTTATCGTGATCAGAACCGAACAGATTATTGTAAATTGAATATGTTTCTTTTTCAGCAGCTAATGCAGCACGGAAATCTCCACGGGACGCATGTGCACGAGCAGTGATGTGCTGCACTAGAGCGGACTGAAAGAGTCGCAGTTTCTTGAAATCCGAAGAAACCTTACGCAGTAAAAGAATTAGTGACAAAAGAAAACAACAAGTAGAGTATAAATATCAAGGCATTCAGCGAAAAAAAATCTTGTTCTATGTCTTTTGCGTATTCGAAGCTACTAAGCCATCAAAGGCGGTCATAACCCTCTTTGGAAACAAAACATAAAAAACTGATTTCTGCTACCTTATTTTAATGGTCAGTAAAACAAAGTTGCTGATATGCTTTCACTCCTATCGAAATATGAATAAATGGAATAAAGAGGGCGCTTGTGACGCAGCTTCTTTACATGGAAGCCGTAAAAGGCTGTCTATTAACAATCATCTTAATTGAAGACTAAATATTTAACTGAAGCAAACACTTGTAATAGTGTAATAGGAATCGAACCTTGAGACGCTTCGGCTCTCCGTTGGCTGCCATAACAGCTTCGGCTGATTGTAAGAAACGCAGAGCGGTGTCAAACTCGTGAACAGCGAATAATATTACGCCAATGTTTCCCTTAAAGCATTTGGTCAAAAACACAGCGTTCAAGATTGCGAAGAAGATGAAATGAATTAAAAACACACATCAATTTGAGCCATCAAGGGATGATTCTCTCCGTGGGCAATGAGTAAAAGATATCGGGCACGATACAGCAGTCTCAGAGCAGCAGGTATATAAAGATTTGAGAATGCAAAGTGAGCGAGATTTATCTGAATACAATTCTTCAGAGCCTGGCTTCCCAATCAATATCAAGTTCCAAAAATGGCTAAGACTCACGTATTCAATAATTGTGTAAGCATGATCAATACCATTGCAGCGTTCGCTCATCAAAGCGGCCCGGTGTTGCTGTGCGACTGCTTCAGTCGGATCACCGAGTATATATGAAAGACGAGCCAAAAGACGAAGGGCTTGAGCGAGTTCGCTGTGCAAAGCACCATAGACGGAAGTCATCAGATTCACCTGAAAACACGGTTCAGATGTTTTTTTTTTGTAAAATAAGATGTAAAACATAGATTACCACTTCGGTAAAGAGATAACTGAGCAATCTGTTTCCTCCACAATATTGGAAGTAGCGTAGGATAGACATAAGATGAGTAAAAAGAGACATAAGATAAGACACAATGAACCCACTGATTCCGCGATACACTCATATGCCTCGCGCAGATGTCCTACTTGCATAGCCTGTTGACCACGAGTGAAGAGTTTCTTAGCATCGCTTGCGCATGGCTAAAAATGGTAATGTTATGGCACACCATACATCGTATACTACTCTCAAATGTCTCCTTCTAACAAAAAAAAAGGCATTTCAGCAGTCTTTGGTATGCATTTTTTACTAACTCAGGAAGATTTAAAAATTACTTGTCTGTGCTTAGTCACGGGAATCAAGTTCTGAATATCGTCCTCGGAGAACGGCTGACGGGAGCGTGTAGATGTTGAGTCAAGCTGATAGTCCTTAACATGAACAAGGTAATCGAAGCAAGGAATTGAATAGTGCATTTGTATTGATCACAATTCAGCTGCATTCTAAAGAGAAATCCAAGCAACAGCCGAGAACTTTTTGCTAAAGAAGGTCGTCGTGAAGAAACAACTTTTACAGTTTTTTAGCTGGCCTTCAAAAGTCAAAAAATAAACAGGAAAGAAAAACCGCATTTCCCACCTTGTTCAGCAGTTGAATTCCCAGCGTGCTGCACAAGCGGCGTAACAGTGAAATTTTTTGCACACCGAACTGCTCTACTACAGAGTCGACACAATCAACCTGCAAACCAGCGGTGGAACCGACAGCATTTTCTCCGGTACTTTCAGATAGGAAATTACGAAACAACGCATTTAAAGTAGGAGCAATCGCTCATCCTAATTACTTACGAAAAAGCTGAAGTTAAAGAAGAATGAGACACCTTAAGATCAAACGCGTAGTAGTTCTTGGCTTCCTGAGAGAGAGCGTTCCAGAACTCCTTGGTGTTAACAGCCACCCACTCTCCGCTCGCAGATGCTTTTTTAGACTTCTTACTGCTCTAAATTATAAACAACGAGATGTGCGCCTGTATGAGATTAAGGTTCATCAAAAAGGTACTAACCCGCTTTGTATTTCGCTCAGCATTTCCTCCAGTTGCATGGTCGGACGATAAATTTCCAAACACCGCATTAAGAAGATGAGCGATAGCGCATCCCAACTGCTCCTACAAAAAAAGAAAGTAGGAGTTTTCCTAAATAGACAACCCTTTTGACGCCGGGCAGCCACCCACAATAGCCACGCGACACCGTTATCGGTGATATCCTGGAGGCTTCCAGGAGAGCTGAGTAGCATCCAACTGCACCAAGTATATCCACCGAAGCCAGAGGACTAGAGACTTACCTGTGGCAATGTGTTCATGTACTGTCTCAGTACATGCTTAGCGCAGCGTGACACGAGTTCAGTTACAGCCAGTGGGACCATATACGAAGACGGACTAATTTTCAACACCTAAAAAATGCATGCAATATAGATAATAAATATGATATAAACTTTCATCCTCCACGTACTGAGAAGAACAAAAATGAACAAATGGAACGGAAACTCGGGATGATGTGACTGAATACTCTGGCGGTGAAAAGGACCATAACTCAGTGACTGGTAGTAACAGGCTTCCTACCGTTCGCACGACGTCTCCCAAGTAACGCACGTTGATTCCACGGGTATGCATCAAGTCGCACAGACTTTCACCGTCAATAGGAGTAACTGTGGCATCCACACAACTAGCCACGAACTCCGGTAGTTGTGAGGTCAGCATAAACTCCGCAGCATGAAAATGGAACGATAAATTTTAATGGTATCGAAGTAAGCCGTAATCGTTACCTCAACAACTAGTCGCCTTTGTTTTTCGAGATCTTCTCCTGGTGCATGTTTTACTGTGGATGAGAAACAGTCAGGGTTAAAGCGGATATCAAATGTGTCCGGTCGCAAAGAATGTACAGATTCAGCAGCCTAGATTGACGTATTTGTTCAGAAAACTCTTAGAGCACTTTTCAGTAATTCCTTCAAGACCCACTTTAGCTAAGGCCTCCTTTGTTACAATACAATTCGTGAATGGTTCGCGTCCCTCGCTCACCTCCACTAATGCTTTCGTCACCTCGTTTTCAACGTCAACTATAATCACAAATCACAATATGCAGTCAATGATAATTAAATGACCAATAGACAGTAGGGAACTTACGTGCTTCCTGATTCTCCTTGTTTGCAGCAATGTGCTGCCTAACGTGATTAGCTGCGGTTTTGATGAATTGCATACAACGAGCTCTTAAATAAATGGAACAGAATAACAAAATTTGTTGTTGAATTTCCAGCATCTAAACTTTTCAATAAATGATCAGAGAAATAGAGTTCTGTATTGGAGGAGCAACCACCAAGATGTTAAAAATTTGCAGTCAAACCCACTCATGGAAGATTTCGACAATCTCTTGGCGCAGCGTTGCAAGTTTGTGAGGGAATGGCCTTGGAAATCCGAGCGATTTAGCCTTTTCCGAAACCTGAATGGCTCCATTCAAGGCAACAGCTGATTTTCAAGTGATAAAGGATAAGAACACTAATTCTGAAGGTTAAGAGATACAGACGAGAAAAACTCGGACAATGTTCACACTCTTTCATCGAAGAAATAGAAAAAGCTCAAAATACTTCAAGAACAACAGAAGTCAAAGTATAATGTACGGTAGAAGCTAGCAAGCGGACATACTTCTGCATCTTGTAGAAAATGGACATCTGGTGGCATCGTCCGCAAAAGATCAAGCACATAATACCGTCCATCGTTCCCGATAATTCCCTGAAAACGATTATGTTGACTGGGATTTCCTAGCATATATTAAAAAATTAAATTACAAAGGAAATTTGAAAACAAACCTTGGTCTCGTAACTGGTGAACAGCTTTGCAGTATTTCCTTGATCGTCAATGACAACCTCATGAGGCAACAATTTTAGATCTTTCGCTGAAGCCTCCAAGAGCTCGTGATACTTTTCTGATGAAACTACGGTCTTACCGAAGTCCACGGAACCATAAACTACTGACTGCTCCTGAAATAGAAACAGTTAGTTCAGGTCTATGAGTAGGAATAGTAGAAAAAAATAGAAGGTGCGAGAAGAGCGAGTGCAAAACAACTAAAATCAGCTCCAAGAAGAACTACCAGATTAAATTATACTGCAGACGGAAAATTTTTGCCCAATGGCTACAAAAGTGAAATTTCTGTAATGTCAAGGGTACTGCTATCGTAAGAAGAATAACTTTCCTACAGAAGAATCATGAACATGAGTGTTATGAGCGAACCTGTTCTTTATCCAAAATTCCTGGTATGATACTTTGGGCGGTCACACGATAGCCTCTGTAATCGATTATTGCCATTCCTAACGTGCATAGCTTACAGTTGTCAAGTGCAGCATAAGCGCGAACACCTTGCAAGTCAGCCGAGGTTGCCGCAAACGCAGCCGCGTCACCTCCAAGCTCCTGCGACACACATTCCATTACATACGAGAAAATAGTTTTCCTTGTAACGAATCTCTCCTTTGATGAAAGATACCTTGTAATGATCTTTGACATCAAATCCTAAGCTGAAAAAAATATTGTTCCATATGAACATATGGGTCCTCGGTTCATCGGCAGGATTGATTGCCATCACATTTCCATCAACAACTGCCATTGCTCCCTTAAAAGGCTAGCTATAACATAATAGCAGTATACAGTGCCGACAAGACCCAAAAGCGCTCATAGGGGATATTGTTCACAAGTTATAAGTATCTAGTTGAGGACGATTAATGGAAGAGATAGTCCAGAAGAGTGCAAAAGTGGAGAAAAAAACGCGAAAATCGCCGTATTTAAAAAATGTAAGGTTCAAAAAGGTTGTAGATTCAAGGGCTGGACGAGAATGTGTCAATAAAAGTTGCATGGAAGGGGTTTTTGGACGAGATCTTCAAGTGTGTTTGCCATTGCAAGCAGCTAGCTACAGTAATGTGTACAACGTTTGGTTTCCGCTCCGGTAGGAATGGTGCAACCTTAACAGCTTTTAGAACGCCGTGAGAACTCGGCCGCCATGGGTGTACTCGTTGGCTAAACCGATTTGGGGGGCCCTCTACTTTCGAACAGACAGCGTCCCTTGTGCTAGTCTTGTGACCACAGATTTGTAATGGGGAAAAATTTCAGAATTTGTTTTTATCGTGAACCGTGCCTCCTAGCCGAAAGTAGTAGCTCGTCCCCAGGATAAAAAGCGGAGGGTACGATCCTATTTCGGCCCTTTTGTAGCCGCGTATCGATGAAATAAATATCCCACTTCTCTAAGAAGAATTCACCTTGATAGCAGCTCCAATAAAATCGCCATGAATCTTAAAAACACTCCTGTCTCTAGTAACTCGTTCCGCCAAAGAAGCACGAGGCATTTCATGAGTAGTCTGAAGTTCCTCGTTCCAATCACGAATCTGCCCCGGTAGATGATCTGAGAAAAGCGTTTTTTTTTNTTTTTTTTCCTCTGAAAACCGAAGTGTCTCAATTCCATTTCACCCTCAAACCCAACGCGATGAGGTTGGGACGCGTCATCCGCACGAATCGAATCCTCGACCACCTCCTGCATTGGAGACAACCAAGAGTGAACAGGGTATGGTGTGGGAAGTCTGTCGAGCATATGTCGTTCATTGCGCTTTTTTATGATGGTAGGATATATCTAAAATGTGAAGATTGAAAACATTCCCACAAACAAAACAGAATCGTAGAATTGACTTTTTTGAATCCTGGACTTAGAACATTCAGTAGATCGACCAGGCTATGATACACAGCCTTGTTTTGACTGCTTGGTTGAGCATTGAAAACTTCGTCCGTGGACGAGTTCACGAAAAATCCCTAAAATCACAATATGATCTCTGCCTAGAAGCTACAACGAATCTGGATCTACCTTAGTGCAACAAGTAATGTGGAGGCGACGTTTCTCTACAGTATCCACAAAGATGTATAGCACATCTCCTTTGACCTTTCTGTGTCCAGGAGGTGGGTTGAATGATGAAATTCCCATGTTTCGTACGGCAGATTTTCCCCTGGAGAGATGCGTCATCATCGGGGCAAGGGAGCGTTCCTGAAAGCCAAACCAATTCTTTGAAATTGAACGCGAAATCTATTCGAACATTCATAATATGTGGTAGTTCTTCCTATGAATACTCACTCACTTCGATTTTCCGTTAGGGCACCAACATATGCCACAAGGCTTTGGACACGGCATATACGCTCTATCACAAGATATAATGGTAAGGTGTGCTTTGAAGCCCATGCCGTTGTCTAGCAGTAGCCCTTATAAGTAACGCTTCTCCCCTGTACTGCAGACTCCCAACTTTCCATTGTTTTATGATTTGTTTTTTAATCTTTCCTTTCTTTATCAAATATTGTTTTCTACTATGTTTAAGGTTATGGCTACGGTACAACCCTACTATATATAACGCCCTAAATGTGTCTGTTGGCTTGGCCGTCTTTGTGTGATTTGAGCGTATTTCGATCGGAAATTCATAACTCCTATTCCTGCGGTCCTAGTGGGTTCAACGGGGGAGAAGTACAGGCGGCAGATTTAAGACACAGATAGTACGTAGTAGAACTGACTGAACTTGATACAGCTCGCAGATGCGTAGTGGGGATGTAGGTGTCAGGACTGGTCTCTGCCAACAGGGGGCAACTTGTGCACGAAAATTAAGATTAGCTGGAGATCCATAACCCTCTTCTCTTGGCCCAGAGCTTTCAAATTTGAAAGATTGCAGGCGGCGGGCTATGTTTAACAAGAAAGGAGAAAAGCTTTTTTAATTGGTTTGCTCTCTTATTCCAAATGTATCTTTCTAACGAAATGGAGTGAAATTGCTTCAACTCCTTAAAGAAGATCTCTTTGAGCTGAGAATGACCAAAGAAAAGAGAATTAAATGATACTGAAACACCTTTCTGCACACCAAAGCTAGGAGACGTACTTGCAAAGTACAAAAGATACAGTCCAACCACTAACCTTCGTTCCTGGCACGACATACTCAGGAGGTAGTCCATCGAACGGCTTCTCTTTATCACCTCTTTCTTGCAGATTCACAGAAGTGAGAAAAGAGAGTGAGTTCATATCAACCGCCGATGCGGCCTCAGCCTGGTCAGCATGACGTAGTAAATCACGTACGTGACGAATATGTACTCGGGCTTCTCTCAACGTGTATGGCTCTAAAAGCAAAGAGTGAAAACACACTACAAAAACTAAGAGTGCTAGCTTAAGTTACACAAACCGTCGACGACATGTAGAACGCTTCCATCGACTAGATCAGGTATCGCTCGAATTTCCGTGAAATTGTCAAGACTGACGCCATTGAGCTGTAGACTGAAGCAGGTTTTATGACAGGTAGCTTCACGCTCCAAAAGCACTTGATGCAACTCTTGCACCATTTCACCACTGTTGATCTGTAAGAAAAACTGTTCAAAACAACTCTACGCTACACTAAACCAATTTGACCACTCATAAGTGATAAGTCCCTTCACTCTTAACCCTAACCATCATAGTGAAGTATCATGGAGGGGCATTAGGAACCGTTCGTATGCTGACATAACCCTGATGACAGCTGAATACTGTAAAGACTTGATTCGTATGAGCATCAGTTGCTAGACTCCCGAAGAAGGCGTCTTGTACAAAGTAGAATAAACCTTCTCATATCCTTAAATGCAACGCGTGCAGGAGAGGAAGGGGATACCTTAACGCAGAGCGTGCTAGCCTGTAGGCAGTAATCCGTAGCCCGGTAGCGGAGTTTTGCTTAAATAAACACGTTCGTATGAGCTTGGTCTTGGACGCGAGTGGATGGACTAAGGAAAAAGGACATCACAATGACCGCGTACTCGCACCCTACATGGCGCGCGGGATGCAGCTAGATCGCACTTGTGTTGACCTTTGGTAGGGACTTCTTCAACATGAATAGCAACGCAGAAGGACAGCGCAACCGGTGACGCTATGGGAGGAACTCTGGAGAGAAAAGACGAAAACGGCATTGTCGGTATTGACATCTGAAGGATGTCCAGGAACCTAATATGCAACAAGATCTAATAGTATTAGCCCTACCCCAAGGTGCGCTTGGAAGTGGTTTACCGCCTAGAAAAAGATTATGTAAGTTGATCACTTCTGTTGACGAATGAAGAAGTTGTAGATTTTGTCATATGAACCGCAAATTCGTCACTAAGATGCTTGCAGATTGAATTTTCGTAGATAGAGGGATATTGCATTCTGCTTGATTAAAAGAGCCATAAAAGAGTTAGAAGCTCTCATAGGGTACGGCGTATTGGGTGGTGTTCCTTCTCGTATTTTTTTTCATTTTCATTTTTCAATTATACGAAGGTCAACTAATCTATTTAGGAAGTTCAGTATTACTGATCAACAATCTATTATCGCCCAAACAACGCATGGCTAGCTTTCCAATGCCAATGAGAAGGCATTGTTAGCAGGAGTTCTGTTATGTCTTCTGTAACTTGAACTGTTCCTAATCATCAATTCCTATTTGAAATTCTATCATATTAAAGTTATCCGTTCAGACTATGCTATAACAGACGACCTTATTCCTTGCCCATCGTGTGACTGTACCAAATAGAACACATTGGCCGACAACTATTCAGTCAAAATTTCGAACATTTTGTATAAAAGTGGCTGTATTGTACGAGAAAAAAGGATGAACAGCGGTAGTGGGGTCACTTACGGTCACCTATATGACCGATCACTCCACATTTTGCGTGCTCCCTTGACGCACATATTCATTTCAATTTGGGGACACACTACTATGGATTGAAGAACGGCGATTAAGAAGGAGGAAACAACAACAATGACCTTTGTCTCAATCCGAATTCCTGCTTCCTGATTTCAAGAAGCGGGAGTTCGGTTTAAGAACATTGTTTGGGACCGCGAACATTGCCCAGACCCGCGACCGCGTTTCCAATGCGTTGCTCCCCAGAAACCAGAGACATCTTATCAATAAACTAGCAGAAGCCTTATATGATGAAGGTGCCTATTCTCGGGCATAATGGATCACTCGCTGACTGCACATGGCTCAGCAGAGGAGGATGCTCCTGGTCCGAAGCTCTACGTTTTTTGTACCGCTAGCATCCCCGCTCACTCAGCTGTGATTACTAGTTTCGACGTAATTGACAGAGTTAATGTTGGTTCGCTCAGTATACACCAGATCTATAATTGTATTAACGAAGCAGAATGCAACATTAACGATGTTTGTTGGAAAATTCAGGGAATTGTATTCAGAGATACGAAACTGATAGCAGAATCTACGGAATAGAATGAGAAACTATGGTATGGGGCGCAAAATCCCGTAATTAACCGAACTCAAAGTCGTCGCATATTAGTTACAAGTAATTTTAGCCCCGATTGATTGAAATAGAAACCACAGAGAAAAGTAATGGAAACAAAATGAAATAATTACTGCTCAAAAAAGTTCTCAAGGCGAAGATGTTTGAGCAGTAATTTTTGAGCAGTAATCTGAGGGTACCTGATATTTTTTTACTATTCAGAACTATGCTAGTCTACAATAAATATTTTCATTAAGGATGAGTTTTTGAGGCTGAACAAAGCCAAAAGAACTGATCAAATCAAAACAAGAGGCAACCTTCCCAAGTATCCATATAATTACTAACTGATATCATAAGATTTCATTAGAAACTGAACAAAGCTCCTTCTTTCCCGTTTTCATGCGAGTGACTAGAAATGAACGATCTTTTCACTCCAATAATTGACTTAACCTTCACAAATATGAAACCCTTTTGTTTTGGATCGTTTGGATTGTTTCAACAAGAAAGGCAAACAAGCAACTCAAGTAACCTGAAACTCGAACGAATCTCCAACAGTGGGTTGTATGGTGAGAGTGAGGACTGCATCCTGCGCTGCTGCCGCTTTGAGCTGAGCCGTCTGATCTGATTCTGTTATTTCACCTGCAAACTCAATGCAGTGCATTAAATGCTCTTAAAAAAAGAAAATAAACTACCAAAAAAGTCACCATTTGTTCGCACGCAATCCGGCGATCCACTAACAGACGCATTTCCAGAGTCGGGTAGTTGCGCTTCGATTGTGTCTTTTGTGTTAGCCACTACCGCTGAGCCCACCTCAGCTGACGTCATACCTATACGATCTTACTCCTTTGACTATGAAGATGAGTTCTAAATGTCGCACGCTTGCCATTTCGAACCCGAGGGAATTTTTGAAAAAATCGGAAGTATGAACGGAGTAATTATTCCAATTATTCGCATGAGAAACGTTCAAGAACTTGACAATCTAACCTGAACGATTGTAGAAATCTGGAATAAGTGTAGGCTTAGGAGAGAAGACTATCGATTTGTGATGAGAAACATCAGAAATCTAACAATTAATAGAACAACTTGAGAAAGAATAATGAACAAGAAGCACGGAGAAGCGTTGACTAGAAGAAATCGAACCAACTAAAACATTATAGGACGCTCGACTATGATCTTTACAACAACGAACACATATAGAGCATCTAAATACGATTCTACTCACTAGAACCTTTAAAACCCAAGCAAATGATGCCCCGAGACCATTTTTGCTCCTATCCGGTCATGATGAAAAGCAGTAAATTCGGCACTCAGATAAAATTGGAATTAATAAATTGTATAAATTGAATCGAGATGTAATATTTGTTCACCAGACAAAACAATCAATGTCCTTCACGATGCAAAAAAACCCAAGAAGAATCCCGAACGGCAATGGTCGGTGTTTGCATCACGAGAAGCGCTCGCACCACTTGTTCGCGTCAATCACGCCAAGACGTCATTATCAGCCTATTCCACCGTAACCCGACTTCATGGACTTTGAGGTTCATAAGGTAACGCCAGTGGGAGGGCAAATAACCAAAAGGATGATTGCTATTTATTCTCAAGGTGAAGAAATATTAGAAGGTCCTATTGCTTGAAAGCTTTCATCGTCATCACCAATTATGCATGTGAAAGAGATTTTACTCAGAATTAAAGGAGGGCGCTACCTAAAAAGCTGCCGCGTCTGCAAAATTCGCTGTGGGACCGCAATGCCGTATTCCGCGCTCATGTGCTTAGTTGCAGCTGGCCTAAATTTTGCTAAGTATATTATTGTTTGTTTTTAATATTATATTATTAATATATATTATTATATTACTAATACTTTAATATTTTCATATCGCGTGAAACTTCAAAACGATTAGGGGATGCCAATTGCATCAGACATCAAAATCTGCCTGAATATTGCAGACATGTCGTCAGGAAACGAAGAACGCTTCGGTTGTCCTTTATGCGGCAAGCTCATGCTAAGAAAGAATGTGTACGACCATTTGAGAAAGATTCATTACTCTTCTGAACAACAAGTTGAATCAATGAAAGCGAATATAAAAATCGAGGCTAACGCAAAAAAGGATGAATTCCACATAATCTGTCCTGTCTGCGATGATCAGTTTCTTGACCAGGAGGAATTGGCTATTCACTGCAACGTGGAACACACTCACGATGGTGCAAACGGCGAAGAACAAGACTACACTGTGCACGACTTGGATTTCGCTTCCAAAAAGGACTTTGAGGTGAAAAATACTTATCTTTACAGAAGTTTTTGATCTTCGATTCGCTAAAAGCTTTAGTTTTTGCTGAGTGCTGGTCGAAAGCCAAAAATATTTTGCAGATGTGGCTCAATGAAACTTGTGAAAAAACGGTAACATCTCTGTACAAAAACTCGAAATCCGCCAATACTATCTATTACAGGTCTCATTCTCTTTGCCATATAATAGATGGCGTTGTAACATTGTATTTCTGCAGATGCAATCGCTCCGGGAAATTCGTTAGCAAGAGTAAGCAACGAGTTCGTTGTAGCAGGAAGGCAGTTCTGCACTGCTCGTGTTACGTAAACGCTCGTTTCAACAGTGATGGGACCGTGGGCGTAAAGGCATGTTTTGGCCATGTTGGCCACGAACTGGAGCCGGCCCTTCTACATCTATCAGATTCGCAACGGCAGTATCTCAAGTCAATGTTAGAAGGTAAAGCAACAGTAAGGCAGGCCTGAGCATCGCTAATCTGAAGTTTTAGAGCATTCGCTGGACTACGTAATCAGAAGATGTAGAAAGGATTTCCCGGCTAAGGATTCGAGGATGCACTTTATGACGAAGGCTGATCTTTGGAACATCATCAACAAATACGATCTAAAGCCTGGCTATCGAGATGCTGATGACTTGAAGTCGATTCACTTGCGGGAAGCGGAACATAATGAAGACGATGGTAGAGTTTGACATCATTTTGAGAATTTGAGAACTTTCCCGTTTCACCCGACATATTCCCACCCCTCCCCGTTCAATGGTACTAAATCTAGAAAAACCCATGACATTTGTTAGGGGAGAAAGTGACAGAATCTTGCGAGCCTCACCCTTGACCCTCCTGCATCGCAAAATCATGCTCTACCAATTTGGAACTTGGCCCTCCCTACCGCCCTACTTGGATGATTTCAAAGCAAAAATCGCCCACGTCTAGGGGACACTTGCTCAATTTAGGGGAGCGGACAGATAAACTAACTTTAATCTCTATCCTGAAAAGAAATTTTTCAACTAAAATTTCCTCGAAAACGCATTTAAAAGAGGTGGAAACAAAGAAACAACCAACGACAGACCAGAAAACTCGGGCAAATATCATTGCACCATTAACGAAAGAATGATTAGATAAAAAGGTGCATGTCGTGAGGTTAATCTGACTAGTAATGGTAATTATCAAGGGCAAACAAGTATGTACTTCTTTCTGCTAAAAATCACCTCTGGGGTTGGCCCAGCAGGTTGAAGGTTTCGATTAGGTCTCCCTTAATTGACCCGTTTATACTAGACTATCCTTTTCGGATGCCAGGATTTCGGAACAAGGCGTTTAGGATCCTTGAGGATTGTTTGATGGGAAGCCATAGTCAACATGACTTTTTTTGAAATCAAGTGCAGAAGAAACATTATCAATAAGACCAAACCACTTCTTTATTCAAGTTTTCCCCCCTCTCTCAAGGTACGACCGTTTCGGTTTCCTTGGATAAGAGGATATCTAGCTAACAGACAAAACTGGACCGATAGAAAGACTGGAAGGAAGCGGATTCCTTTAACCAGCGATTCGTCTTATAATGTGTCAGGGAACATTCCAGGATACATAGAAGTAATGCAGCGGAAAAAGTGAGCATGGACATCGAAAAACTCTCCTCGGTAACCATGAAAGTCGTTTGGCACCAATTTTATTTAGTCGTTTTGCAAAACACTAGTAGAATATCTAAAGAAACTAGCGCAAACCTCAACGCTCGTGGTTGAAGGCTGTGGTTCGCCCGAGTTGGTCCCGCCACGAATACCTCCCACGGGTCAGTAGAAGCCACGGAAGTGACGCTTACTTCTTCCCTTGGTGATGATGCACTGATTTCGATTATATTCATGATTCCCAAAGAAAAATGTCAAATGCATAGGCCCATCCCCTCAGCTTTGCGTGCGAATCTTTCGATGAACTTACGCTACAGTAACTGGCAAATTCACACTGGCATGGTCCTAACACGAAAATACAGTATTCGGTGATAATGATTCGTTGTTGGATCGACTTCGGACGCTGTCGACCGTCGTTCTATCCTGAGGCGGCCGCAGTGTGCGATGGTGAGCAACAGTGTGGAGTTCCTGAAGGCCATCAAGTCAGTCAATCCAGTCAGTGTTTTTCCGTGAGACAGTGCTCAGAGAAGATTCAGTGCTTTTGAGGAAAGAAGATGGCGATCCAGATGGGAGGGGAGCTTCCTCGAACTTTGGAAAGCGTTGTTCGATGGATCCAGAACCTTCGGTATTGCTTCCTATGTGTAATTATCCGTAAAATCGATAGTCCGTTGTGCTGACGATCGATTTTTCGTCTATCGTGCTCTTGTGATGATGTGAGTGCCTTCAGATAAGTCGCATTGACGATGTTCGGCTTAAACATCCAACAAAATACATAATAAGGAAGGCGGCGACCCCATCTGCTGCTCCACCGTTGAAAAGAATTTTCATTGGGCGAAGTACGTTTCGTTTCGTTTGCATCGTTTCTAGTAATCGCTCTGTGATCACCGTTACTTTTCACCGTCTATCCTCTCATTTTGAAGAACCAGGTCTTCTTCTGATCTTCTCAGTCTGCTGCTGTCTTTTTGTGTTCGAGTTTGACTTACCATGTCTTGTGCAAATTCGTATTAGCTAATGCTCATATATGGGAACTGCCACCTTTAATTAAAAAGCGCTTAGTTTTGGTACTTAAAAGGTCTTAGCCCCACTTCATAGTTTTTCAAGCGCTTACTTCTTTCACCAAATAGGTGTCGACGTCATACCTCGTTGTCCATAAATTCATTGATTTGATTGCGGAACATTCCGTTATCCTTCAGAGTCGCTATTCGCACCCCGTGCCTTTCAATATTCTCTCTTTTCTGCGAAGCTACTGTTTCAAATTACTCTTGGGACTTTTTATTGTTAATACTGTTAATTTCTCACGTTACGTGACTCATATTTGGTCTCTATGCACCTTTTTGTTTCAAGAGAGGGACTTGCAAAATGTTTCATGATGCAGTTTTCTGTTTAAAAAAAGTCTGAAAGGTGCAGTTCACATTGGTTTACTCGCGAGACGGTGTCTCACTAATTTGCTTAGAATTGTGGTCTTAACGCCATCTCGTCATTGCCTCAGTTGGGCTCTACTATTAAACTTATCGACGCCTTTGCCATTTCACTGAAATAGTTCATGAATTAATTCTCTCCAAGCTTTCGTATGATGAATGGTGCCAGTACTGCCAGGAACAATACCTCGGTTTCTTAGTCGAACACAATGATCTTTTGATTGGGCAAACCTCGGATTCCTTCAACAACTTCCTGCAACATAGTTTATTTCTTGAGATTTTAGGCGCTTATGAGTCTAAACCTGGATCAAATGGAGTCACCAACGTCGCGTATGACCGTACCTTCACGCGTGATGCTGAACTTGCTGCTAGTTCTGCTCCTTCACCTGAAGGTGTTTTACGTATCTTTTCAAGTCTACCACTCCAGCTAATAAGGCTCCATTTTTTCTATACTTTTTTTTCTGTTTCAGTTGGAAGTCCCGTGAGATTCTGGAGGACTCCCTCAGGGAAGTTGGTAAAATTGGATTCGAAGTCTCCGTCGATGACTCGCCCTTCTCTTGGCTGTTTGGGTACTTTCGTGAAAACACAACCAAAGATCATCAGATTAGCGAATGGAAAGTTAGCTCGGATATCGACAAAGGTATATTACTGTTTCAAGCTGATGACCACACGAACATACAACATTTCTTTCGAGGAAATTTCGTCCGAGTTCCTTTTATCGTGAGTAGACTATGGAGCAATTAGTGTATGTACAAAGTGTTGCTCTTCAAAAAAGGTGCTGACAAGCAGTAAGTACGAGATGGGAATCACCGAACAAAGCATATAACAGTTGCAGTTCTCAAGACTTTCAAGCGGCCCTATCAGATCTGGGATGTACTTCATCGTACGAATAAAAGGGAATAGATAGAAATGACATCAGGTTTTGCTGGCTGCTCATACTCCTGAAATGGTACAATTAGCAATATTATAATAGAAGCGTGTACAACATGTCTCAGTTCGATTATGGTTTTACTCGGCCTAAAGTTGTTAATTTTTGTTTCCGATCAATTTTTTTTCACTTCGCCGTTTTGAGTTTCCTCCCCTTCCAGAAGATCCCTTCGCCATTTGCTCGGGGACGTCGAATCACAGGCAACGTGAGTGGAGGGCCGTTCTCACAATTTGCTCGAGATACGGGAAGACTTGACATCCCATCGATTACGGCAAAAATCACTTCTTCATCAGGTGCGTTGTATCTGTGTGTGCGCTTTTTGTTACTTTGTTACTTTGGCCAAATCTCTGGCAGCGCTTCGAAATCTCTCTAGCCGCTCTTACTCAGCTGTTTGAGCGTAGATATCGCGTTGTACAATCTTAGGGAAGTCTAGGTTAGAGTTTATTCTGTTGTTGGCAGACTAACACGTTCGCTTTCCGTTGTTCGGCACTTTTCAATATGTCGGTCCACTGATGTGTCATATAAATTTCTAACAAACGAGTTTTAGTATAGAGCTATAATTCATAAAATTTAGAGCCTATTGATATCGCAACGCTGATTGGAACTGGTCCCGCGTCGTTTGATGATACGCCGCTTTTTGAGAAGACCGATGACTCTCCAGTTGTAAAGGTTGAGCCAATGGACGTGGATGAAACGCATGAGCAGCTAGGGTCCGAGGAAAGAGCGCCAACGGATCGAGCATTGACGGAAGAAGCTCCGGGAGGTGCTTCACCAAAAGATGAATCACAAAAATCTCAGGAGTCTCTTGAGCAACCACTTCCAAGCCATCCACAACCTTCTCTTGCAGTTGCTTTGAAAAGCGTTGCCGATAATTCTCAAGTGGTGAGAGCGTACCATAATTTCCTTCGATCACAATGAATATAAAATGTGTTCCAGGGCGATCTCGGAAAGATACGTGAGCAACCACTTTTCACCCAAGATTTGGTTCAACTTCCCATGAAGGAATCCTGCAACGTGTGTCGCGTAATCGTCCCTGGACTGAAAAAGTTCGTATTTGTGTCTGGTTATTTCTCTAGCGAATTTTTTGAACGTCGCGTTAATCCTCCAGTCGCAGTGATTTGCTGCCGCAGTTGAAATTAGCACTGTATGTTCTGGTTAGTTCGTAACACGGCTTTCATTTGGCCCCCATAACACAAGAGAAACAAGCCTCAAAGGAAGTGGGAGTCATCAGGTGTTTCACACAACCTCCACACAATTTTTCTCTACCAAAGCAGAATCAGACGTAAGCGGAAAAGCGAACATCAAACAATTGCTCATGTCAAGCTTTTTAGTCCTATAGGTTCAGCAGGATTTTTGAATTTTCGTATTTTTCCTGAATACTTGGTGATATGATGCCTCATCTATAATTCTTCCAGGAACATGATATCTCTCGAAGCACGGCTCACCGGTTTAGTGGAAACTGTTCAAAACTTGATAATGTATTTGAATCCGGTGATTATTTTCATTTAGTAGATGTTCACGTTTTGTGTTATACCAATATGAGGTATTAAAGTGGTCCGTAACAGTTTCATAAGATGTATCCGTATTTGCAGCTAGATAGAAGAGCGGCTGAGTTGGCTGCAGCGGAGGCAGCACCGCCGTCTACTGCCGAAAGCAACGCACCAGATCTGAGTACTGTTTCCACGTCATTGGCTTCTAGAGCTTATCGTGCGTAGCTCTTTCTTTTTTATTAAATGTTCAATGTTTTAAGATGTTTTCTTTTAAGATTTCGGTGACACCAGTCATGACCCCGACTCAGACAGAATACCATCAATGCTTCTACCGGTTGCGTGTAGGAATGAGAATCGGATAGAGATGAGAACTGTAGGTGCAGACGAGGTGGTAAATTCTATGGGTCATCGACCAAACGTGGTCAGATTTATTCGGCAACCGCTGAAATCCGCATCCGTTCTCGAGTCTTCCTCCCCTATGCGACCTACCCATGGAAGAATACGTTTTGTTGTTGCTGACAGAGCAAAAACGATGCGAACAGTGAGTTTCCATGTAACTGCACATTTTTTATTTTCAAAACAATTTTTCTTAAAGGTTGCAACCTCAAGTGGTGGTGCAAAAGCTGATCAAGTCGAGTCGCCTAATCCCAATGCACGAATACATATCAGTCAAGGTGAAGATGTGAAGCCGGAATATGGGCCAACTCCAAATGATAGGCATGTGAGCCCTTCAGACAATTTTGCGATTAGTCTTGGCTCTTCATCTCATCGCCATTTTTCAGTGATCCATTTCTTCATACACATGAATAAGGCTATATTAGCAGCTCATCTGTTTCGAACGGCTTACTCCACAGTAAGCAGCTATTTGAACGGCTTACTGCAGATAACTATTGCACACGGAAAGTGGGTAATTAGTTCTACAAATTTATCCCAATTTTGCAGTCGCGTTCACCTTCTAATTGAACAATATTCAACTTTCTTGACGCAACAAACCTGTCAGTGCACAGCGTGGGTAGTTCAAGGAGAACAACCAGCCTATTTTTCGTGTACTTAAAACTATATTATGTTTCTTCTTGCTGGTTGGTTGAAAATTTACCTCACAGATCTTTTATTCTTGAGCCCATATACTTCGTCGTTTTTATTAGAGCGTTGCAAAATGTTGTCGGATACACACAGTAGACCTGGGTTCCTAAGCAAATGGTTATGTATATGTATGTTTGTACTGTTAGATGTTCCTGTCAAGCCTACACAAAGTCTAATCAGATTTTTCGCTATTTGTTGATTGTATACTTAAATTCTTTATCGACGCAGTTCTTAGTAATCTGGATGTTTCTCAGCCATTTGGTTCCTATACTTTTGAAAAGGTGTTTTCGTCTGCTGTACAAAGCTCTTGCACACCTTCTTTCTCTGCCGTGAATTTATCATGTTAATATCGTAGTACTTTTTGATGATCGGGTTTTTACATACGTTGATCGGCATGACTGATTGTAGCACCTATCTAAGCAATTGGTTTGTGTGTTGAATAAAATTTTGACAGACAGACAGTTAGTCTTTTATGCAATCTGTCATGACAGAGATGTATCTGGCCGTTTTTCTTCTCGGATTTTCGATTATGTTCCTTTTGTCTCAATTTGACTTTTGCACTGCATTGATTGCTTGATGAAAAGAATTCAATGGATGCTGCCATGCATCTTCCTTTTTGTACACTTTTGATGATTCATTAGTACTGGATGACTGGCTTCGGGAAAAGATCATTTTTATGGTGACGCTGAAGTTTCATTGCTAGATCTAGGATACATCTCAATGATCGGGCAATCTCAAAAGAACTGCGGTGAGAGAACGAGTTCATCACTTCCATTGCTTCCTCAATTTTTTTTGTTTTCTTTGCGAATCTCGCTGGCTGCTTACAGACTTCAGCGGGAGCATTCATACTAGGTGGCGTCCCGGCACCCCCGGTACAATCCGAGCATCCCCGGCACCGCCTTGGCTGCTTTCAGACTTCGACGATTCTACCTGCGTGCGTGCCGGAATCGTGGGAGCAAGTGGCGCTAGCCACCTGTTGACAGCACTGGCACATGATCCATCGGCATCCAACGATGTCAGCACCTGCCTAGCGCCTCGTCGCATAGCCGCTCGCTTGCTCACTTGCACGATTCTACCTGCGTGCCGGCACGCATGCAGGTAGAATCAGCCCCTGGAACCCCTGGGGAAGTCTCCGGCACCAGTCTACGACGTGCTTGCCAACCAATAGCTCGCATTTGATGACTCATGCTACGGAATGACGTTTTAAGGTAATCACGCTCGTCGCTCGTTGCAGATTGGACTGTGATTTTTATTTGTTATTACGTCCCGTATCGATGGCCGGTCTTCTGTGTGGGTAATGTTCGCGTGAGTTTATTATTTTGCCACTTAATTTTTTCCTCTCATCTCAGCATTTTGTTGTGGAAACTTTCTCT